AAAAAACATTAAAAAGGGGGACTATAAAGCGAGTAGCAAAACGAGTATATATATATATATATATATATATATATAATTTTCAATTCATATAAAATATCAGAAACTTAACTTATTTTTGATATGTTCAAGTTTTAAACTGATCTTAATCTAAATACCCCTCAGCAACGTATTTTTTTTATTATTATTATATTATTAAAATGACTTTAAAGCTGTGTTAATGTGTTTACGTCAAAAACAAACTTTTGTCTAGAGATGTTAACAGTGGCAAGAATCCAGTCTGTCTGTATCAATTTCATTAACAATTTGATACGGTAAACACCTGCTATATTGAATTAATTAAATGCGATTAATGGAACATCTGCATTCTGCTGAATTACTATGGCATGTTTCCGCTTGTCGAAAACGCAGATTGAATACCAATCAGTATTAATGTTTAAAATGTAACTATAAGTCGGTTGTTCAATAGAATGTCGAACTTCAAATAATAAATTTACTTAATTTTGTAACATAAAGAGATATTTATTTTTTAATTATCTTAAAAGAAGTCGTAGAAGAAAATTGAAAAAAATTTTTGTCTTCCGATTCTATCTTTAAAATAGATATTTTCAAACACTGTTCTTTAAAATGATTTATGCATTGGGCGTTTCAGTAATATTTTTACATAATAGCATGTTTTTGTAATGTTTCTAATTTTTGAGCAACTGTATATTTAAATACATGTTTAATTTTATCATTTATTATATCCTTGTTCTACGGTATTTATGTAATTTTAATTAACTCAAGGAACGATGTTAATTTATCCTGTCTGACTCTTAGACAATTAAGAAAAAAGATATAGGTTTTCATTTTCTGCGCATTAGATGCAAGTACATCGAATTCATAAACTAAGTTAAAAACATAGGGATATAGGGACAACATAGAAAAAGATTTAAGATTTTTTAAAAGGGAAGAGAAAAATTTAGAAAATGGTTTTAAAATATTTACAAATATAAAGAAATTAAAATTTAAAAAAAAAAATACGGAAAATAAAATAAGGAAAATATATAATCTCATCATCAACTCACACGATAATATCCGAAAAAATAGTGCTTTCAAATATTGTATTAACACAACCAAAGCAAAAATGAAGGGTAATTGAATAAAAAAAGTAAGTGTTGAGTTTAAAATAAATTACTTATTCGTATCAGGGAAACAGTAAAAAAAAAATCATCAATTTATTATTGATAATGCTTAATTAATTTTAATAATTGGTGCTTCCGGTATTGTGGTAATAATTTTTTTTATAAGTATAAAATATAGATAATTGATATTGTTTCAGAACTAAAAAATTTCTATTGCCCCGAAAGAGATAATACAGGATAAATTGATAAATTACTTGATGTGTATACATATATCATCACGTGATACTGGTTTATTATGAACGAAAATATTGATTCAATTTAATAATTAATTTTTGTAGTAGTAAATTAACACCCGACTAAGTTCTGATATTGAGCTTCAGTGTTGAACTGTTTTTTCTAAGAACTACGATCCTTAACTACGAAATAAATAAATATTTTTTTAAGGTTAATCCTTTTAAAACATTAGATCTTCTTAATATTTGATTTCAAAGGTATTGTTTAATGTTTTGCAAAGCAAGCTTAACATGCTAGAAACTAGAAAGAAAAAATTTTACTTCAGGTATCATTTTCTGAATAATGCAATTTAAGAAATTTGAGACAAAAAAATTAAATAATAAATTGCAGATCATTTGAGGATTAGTGAAACATGTTTGATATCATTCTAATTTTTTCCCCTTGGATAGATTTGATAAGCACGCTCAGAAAATTAACTTCAACGATGAACCATATTTTTGATTTTTAGAACTATAATATATTAAAAATTCCTTAAGAAGATGTTAATTTGAATTGTATCCCCGTTCAAAATGAACCATGATCGGCAATAAAGATTAAGAAATACAAGAGTGTAATTCAAATTGGTACCTTAATAAGTTAGCAGAAAATTTAAACGATAGGATAGTTCAACACACTCTGAATTTTCTAATAGGTTACAACGAGAGCTTCATCTGTCTCTTATTATCTCCCCAGATATTAACTTCCGAAGATTATGAAAGATTTTGAAAAAATTATAAATGATTTTTTTTTTTAAAGAATAAATTAGATCACATTTGTAAATACATTTTTCAATTATGCGAAGTGCTTGTGAAATTCAATTTTAAATGTACGTTTTATTTATTGAAGGAATGATGGGCCTGAAAGGATTGAAAAATCTCATGAGATCTGAAGGTAAATACTACTTCATTTTTAGAATTCAATTCTACTGCTAAAAATTAGTTGATTACTTTTACAAGATAATTTTTTAAAATTATTTTAAAAAAATATTACAATATGCAAGTTTTTTAAACTTAGAAAGACGGTTTTCAAAAGTGCAAAAGTTCAGGCTTAAAGAAAAATGTTTTCAGCTAATTCATGTGTCAGAGCGCAAATATTTTTCCATTTGTTTCTGATTTTAGTTCAATTTGTTTTCAACAGGTGGCTCTGTAACGATTATTTACTCTTCATTCTGATGTTATTAAGTTCGACATATCATTGTAACTAATGCTGGATTTTTCAAAAATTCAGATACAATTTTTTTAAGTTTTCAAACAAGTTGTGTTGTGAATTAGAATTATTTTAATTCTTTGATATACTGCAAAATCTTTGATTTACAGATTTGCAATCTGCAACGTCACCTGTCGGTAAATTTTCTAGCTGAACCATTTATGCCCTGTTACATGAATGTCAGTCGCTTTTGGGGCATCCAATATTCAAATAGTGTAAACTGTTACTGTTTTTAAAATTAAAGATTTCTGTTTGCTCTATTCCTATTGGACAATTCATATTCCTTTCTCAATAGAAATGTATTTCTATTGGTTGCATATGTTACTGATTGATCATTGATTGATTTCCAGTAGACGGGTAAGTGAAGTGACGTCAGCTTACACATTTCTTTACACGATTTTCTCATTATCCAAAAAAAAATTTATGTGAATTTTTTTTTCATTTTTGATGATTTTTTTAAAACATTTTTGTTGAACTTCGGCTTTGGAACAGTGATTGAATTTTGGACTTTTATTAAGCTTTATTCATTTAAATTTTAAAGAGAATAATTCTTTAACTTGATTATTAAATTCAGGTCAATTGCGATTAAATATTTCAGAATAAAAGAAAAAAATATTTATCATATAGTTTTGCTTGTCGATATTCTGTTTTTTAAAAAGGAAATGAAATATGAAATTTGCTACATAAAAAATTTATTATTTTCAGGTTTATATTTAACAGTTTTATTTATTCATTTCTCATTTTCTTAGGTTTTCCAATGAAAGGTTTAGTTGGCCCACCTGGTCCGCCAGGCCCACCTGGTCCGCCAGGCCCACCCGGACCGCCTGGACCATCTGGATCAACGTCAAATGATGATATTAAACGCAATCAACCCTCAGTTGTTCCAGGGGTATCTAAATTTATTTATCATTCTAATATTATATTAATATATTTAAATAGTTAATACTATATAAGCCACCTATTTAAATATCTAAGCATTGGGAAAAGCAATAAGATATGCCGATAAGGTACAATTATCCAAAGGTACGTACAAACATTAGCTTATGCAGATGATACTGATTTACTGAGACGTACCAAACAGGTTGTCTTAGAGGCTTTTACCAGGCTTGAGCTTTCTGCTAAAATTGGGTTTAACTATTAATCAGGATAAGACCAAATTTATGGCTGTCAGTTATCGAAATTTTGAGGTTTTTCCTCTGACTAATAATTATGCATTTGAAGGTGTCAGTCAGTTCAAATACCTAGGGACAATTGTTGCAGTTAATAATGATATCAAAACAGAAATTAATAACAGCATAACGATTTCTAATAGATGTTATTGTGAATTTAAAAACCAACTGAAATCAAAGCTCATTTCCAGTAAAACTAAAATTAATATAATATAATACTCTAATTAAATCTATATTACTTTATGGCAGTGATGCTGGCCTTTAAATAAAACTGAGGAAAATAAGCTACTAATATATGTAAGAAAAATACTCAGAGCCATCTTCGGAGTTGTTAAAGAAAACAGTGTTTCTTGAATTCAGTACAATTATGAATCATGCAAAAAATTTACGCAACCAAGCATAAATTCAGTTATTGAATCCTATAGAATAAGATGGCTGGGCAACAACTATAAAAGGAATGATGGTGAACCTGTTAAGAAGCTGACTTTTGGGTAGTTTACAGGCAATCGAACAAAGGGGAATATCAAACACCAGATGGATTGATTCTGTGGAAAAATATCTCAAAATCGTGGGAATCAATAAACGGAGAAACCTAGTGTCTGATCGAGCCAAAGGGAGACGACTAGTTGTCACTGCTCTGGCTTGTACTAGGCTATCATGCTAATGAAAGAAGAAGAATATATGGAAAAAAAATTTGAAATCTGAAAATATATATTATTAGACTTTTGATAGTCATTTTTAGTTTATTGAACTACATATTATTCTAAATTTTGATTATTAATAGCTGTTTGTATTTTTTTAAACTGTGCTCTAAATATTAGCATATGTAAGTTGTTTGTAGAATTATCTAATTCTAAACACTGATTTATGTCAACTGTTGGCAGTTTACAAAACTATATAATCTTATAAGTATTGACTTTAGTTAGTAACTGCTAGAAAAATATCTATAAAACGGTGCATTGACTTATTGCTGATGTTTGTGGTTGACTAAACTCTAAATATTAACTTATGTTAGCTGTTTGTAGTTTACAAAACTATATAACAAACTATATTACTCTAAGTATTGACTTTCGGCAAAGAACTATAAAATATTTTGTTGATTTATGTTGCGACTTGTTGTTTACTTTTGTTAGCTATACTCTAAATATCAACCTATGTTAGCGTTTCCTATGCTGTAGTTTTCAGAACTATATCATATTCTAAAAATTGATTTATTTCAGCTGTTTGCAGTTTAAAGCTGTTTGTAGTTTTCAGAACTGCAGGGTAACAAAAAAGTATAGGGATTACTTTTGTGGCTATCTATCACTAAAGTTTTGAAACCTTTTTGCATATATAGCATACTGATCTAAAGCTCTGCTATTAGAATTTCAATTGCAATACTATTTCATAAAATTACAAAAATGCCTTTGAAGAAATTTGACAAAAAGCTAATTGGTCAAGTACAAGCATTTTTCGAACTTCGATGGAGCCACAGGATTATACAAACCCATTTTAAAAGGAAAGGTATTGCGATTTCACTCAACCATATCAGTCGCATCAAGAATTCAAAACTCGGATCGATGCAAAGTAATGCAAAACCAAAAAGAAGTGGACGGCCAAGCAAATTGAAGACATCAGATTTGCAGAAGCTTGATAAGATGACATCAAAACCGGATCCACCAACACAGGCAAGCATGGTTAAAGCTCTTAACGTGAGTCAGCAAGTTGTTGTAAGCTATCAACTAAAACAAAAGTTGAAGAAAAAATGCCATAAAAAACATAAATATCATCATTTAAGTGAGAGATCGGTGCAGATTAGGAGGCAACGTTCATGTCCCCTCTACAAGCTTTTCCGTAAGGACAGATTTCGAAAGTTCATTACAACTGATGAAGCTTGGATCTATCTACCTGATACCAATGCTAAATCTAAAGCTCAATATCTTAGCCGTGGGCTGAATAGGCGAGACTTGACACCATCAACCACGGTTCCTCATCCCAAAGGCGTAATGGTTTGGAGGGGCAAATCCACCCATGGTGTGATCAAATCTCGGTTTGTGAAACCTGGGGCCAAAATAAATTCTGAGTATTACATACAGAAGATATTAAAGCCCTTTCTTAAGGATGATTACTGCAGATTGTACCCTAATGGTGATGCTGTGTTCCATCAGGACTCTGGCCCATTGCATGCATCTAAGGTCACCCAGAAATTAATAACAGATCAGCAAGCGCAATTCCTGAGACCAGAACAATGGATTCCAAACAGTCCTGATGCTGCACCATGCGACTGTTTCCTATGGGGACATCTGAAAAACAAACTGAATAAGCGAAGAATTTCTACATTGCCTTCAAAGAGCTATTAAAGAAGAGGTGAAGAAAATCCCCCAGGAAATCATTTTGCAGACTTTAAAATCACTGTAGGCAAATCTATTATGCCGAAGGTCGACATATTGAGAAGCATCGCCGAATTTATGTAATAAATTATGGAAATAAAAACATTCAAAAATGATCCCTATATTTTTTTGTTACCCTGTACACAACGAACTATAAATTCCTCTAAGTATTGACTATAGTCAAGGAAATATAAAATACTGTATTGACTTAGGGCAATTGTTTGTAATTTATTTTTGCTAGCTATACTATAAATATTGACTTACGTATGCTGATGGTAGTATGCAGAACTATGTCATAACCTAAAAGTTGTTAATGCCTTATATCAGTTGTTTACAGTTTGCAAAGCTTTTAATGCTTTAAATATTTACTTTTGTCAGTTATTTGCAGTTTATAGAACTATAAAATACTCTAAATGTTGACTTATGTCAGCTGTTTGTTGTTTCCAGAATTGTATGATACTCTAAGCCGTTCTGCTAAAAATTGATTTATGTTAGCTGTTTGCAGTTTACAAAACTATATAATGCTTTCAGTAATTACTTTTGTCACCTATTTTAAAATAACAGAACTATATATTACTCTAACCATTGTTCTTAGTCAAAAAGTACTATAAAATACTATGTAGACTTATGACAGCTGTTTGTAGTCAGCAGAACTTTATAATTCTCTAAATGTTGATATATGTCAGCTGTTTACAGTTAACAAAATTATATAATATTTTAAATTTTTACTTTTGTCAGCTATGTGCAATTCACTGAACTGTATAGGCATAGACTTATATTAGCAGCTTATAAATTCTCTAAATCTTTCAGGCATTAACACTGAAAAATGTAGATTCTCTGCTCCGAGTATCTGAAACAAGTCCTCTGGGAACACTTGGTTTTGTGTTAGACGAAGAAACTCTTTTAGTACGAGTCAGTGGGGGATGGCAGTATGTTGCTGTAAGTACAAATAATAGTTTCATGAAGAAATTTTAAAATTTTAAATTATTAATTAATTATTAATTAATTATTAATTAATTATTAATTAATTATTAATTAATTACTAATTAATTTATTATTAATTAATTATTAATTTGCANTAATATATATATATATATATACCTTTTTGCGGATATAATCGTGTGGGCTGATGAAGAGATTATATCTTTTATTTTACGGATTTTTAAAAACAATTTCGTCCTTTTATTCGGATTTTTTTCCCGGTTTTTTGTTATTTTCATTTTCCTTTTTTTTCCTTTTTTTTCATAGTTCTATAATTTTTGCCTTGTTTTATCTACATTTTGAACTTATATATATATTAACCCAATTTTGGGTTAACGACTGCTAATGTTCAACTCCGTAGCCTTGTAATTTTAAACCGTTCCAGAAGACAAGGAAACTCCTGTATCAGTACCCCCAGCGGTATTGATTTGTTATAGGAACATAGAGGACTTTGCGACTCGACACATTTAACGTACATCAGTCACCATTTACTACATGGAGAGTCTTCGGCCGGCTGGGATCGAGCACACAAATTCTTGGACATGGGCCCAGTACCCTACCAACCAGGCTATCCCGGCCCTAAGATAATACTTTAACATTCACCTGTAAGTAAATTACAGCTGTACCAATAATACAGCAAGCGAACAGAACCAACAATGCAGCTGTAAGCGAATAACAGTCTCTTTCCGAATATAAATGTTATGCATAAGTTGCTTTAAGGAGAAAAATTGTGTACACTGGATATTCCGTAATCCCTGCCCTTAATGTATGTTTTCAGAAAAATTTATTGATGAAAATTTACAAATTAATACTTCATCAAGAAGAAAGTTTTGCCAGAATCAGACGAATCAATAATGTGGCTGTAGGTGCAACTAGCAGTTTCTTGACGAAAATAAAATTTTATGCATAAAAAGCTGTAATAAAAAAACTACCCTATCTGCAGACTGGATGTCCCGTAAAAACAGCCTTTTAGAATTCATGTCAAAAATTAATAGAAAATAATTCGCAAATGAATACTTCAGCAAGAAGAAAGTGTTATCAAAATTAGACGAATCAGTATTGAGGAAGGATTATTAAAAATGTCAAAACTAGTTTTTGATTGCTTCCAGCGATTGAACATGTAATTTGCTTTTATTGATCTTTAGGTTTTGATTATTTTTTATGATATGTGAACTTTCAAATGTGAATTTATCAAATGTGAACTTTCAACTTCAAATGAGTATTTTTCACGCGCAATTTTATTGGCAAAGATTCTAAGAAATTATATTAAGGACACTAATTGCGATGCATGTCGTATATTAAAGAAATGTATCTTTCGTTGATCTCGTTTTTTTATTTTTTTTTTTTTTNTTTTTTTTTTTTTTTTTTTTTTTTTTTTTTTTTTTTTTTTTTTTTTTTTTTTTTTTTTTTTTGCTAGGAAAAATCAATCTACGGATAAATTACAAATTTTTAGTATGAATATGTCCCAAGATTTGTAAATAGTTGTTATAAAATTTTTTTTTATTTGATACGGTATGCTAAAATCTTGTTCAGCGCGCGAGTCTACTTTTTTTCAAAGTCTGCTTTAATTAATTTTAATTTTCTTAATTATGCAACAACTAATCAAGAGGGTAATTAAATTACAGTTTTTATCGCTAAAACATATTACAAATTAAAAGTCAATCAGTTCACAAATACCGATTTCTCTTCTTGATTTAGATTTGGATAAAAATGAATAGCATTCAAATGAAATAGTAAGAAAAAGCAAGTTAAATTTCCGGCCAATTACATTATCAATCGCTGAGATGACTGTATCAGCAGGATTTTAACACAAAAACATGCAACTTAAAATTGTTCAATAATAGTCCCTGTAACCTTATTTTTCCAATAAAAACTGTTGATAAGACTTGATTAACTCTTAAAAACTTTCGACTAATTTCTATGTCCTTATATCTTATCTATAAATGTGCATTTGAAAACCCCTTAAATCACATATCTCATTTTTATATGTCTAATTAACCGTAAAACTGTTAATCATAAACATTAAACCTATTTGTATACTAACGATTATGTTTTTGTTTGCTATACTGATAGTTGAAATCTTTATAAAATGCAAATTCCGTGAATATTACAGAATAAATTCAGGGAAGAAGGAAAAAAAAGACTTTTGCAATTTTTACAGTTAACTATATATATTAACCATGACTATATATATTAGTAATAGTTAAATATATCTATATACACCGAAGAGCCATTGCATTATGGCCACCCTGCTAATAACATGTAGGACCACCTTTATCCCTCAAAACTGCTAGCACCCGCCGTGGCATTGATTCCACAAGGTGCTGATTGGTAGTCTGATGTATCTGGTACCAAGCGCTCACCGACTGGTCCTGCAATTCAATCACATTGCGAGGGGGTAGCGTGGCAGCACTAATTTGGTTTTCCAAGTAGGATCACAAATGCTCTATCTGATTAAGGTCAGGTGAGTTTGGGGGCCAAGACATGACTTGAAAGTCACTGGATTGTTCCTCGAACCAATCCATGACGATTCAACCCTTATGACATGGTGCATTATCCTGTTGGTAAACACCATCCTCCGCAGGAAAAACTGTTGCCATAAATAGGTGAACCTGGTCAGCAACTATGTTCAAGTAGCTTACAGACGTTAGGGATTGTTCTATGAGGATTATGGGTCCTAATGTGCCCCATGAAAACACTGTTCCCAGTCGAGAAACCATGAAAACCTGGGCGAGCCCATTGTTATAGTTGGAGGGTGGTCATAATGTAATGGCTCTTCGGTGTATATGATTATGATATTTTACTCCGAACATTATTTGAATTGCTTTCATTATTAATAAGAAAATAAAAAAATAGTTTTAGACAGTAAATTTTATGAGCATATTTGGTTTTTAATCATAGAAATTCGATTGTCTACTTGTTTGAAGAACAATTTAAAACTGTGAACTTTATTATTTTTGTATTGCACGTATGCTTTGTTAGCCATTATTTTCTTATTTACTTATTCTTGAGAGTTTATGTTTTTTTAAAATTTCGTTACAGCTCGGTTCATTAGTCCCTCTGCCTTCAGCAACGACAACGGTAAGATTTCTTTTAATTTACAATTTTTATCTCTACTGAATTTTCAAATCAATTTTTTTTTTATCTTTCGCCCTATGATCTGATTGGATAAAAAAAGCAATCACACTTCTTCATTCCTGTACAATCAGTGCAAATTAATCAATTAAGGAGGGAGGGATTTTCTTCTTGGCTGTCTTTGGCTATAATTATAATGCTTTTATTTCTTGTTGAATTTGAAAATAATTCTGAATTAAAAAAAAAGTTGAAAATCATGTTTTTCTTTATTTAAAAATTCCTAACAGGAGAGCGAGTCGTTAGGAGGCCATTACTCTCGCCATCTTGGATTTTATATTAAATTTTAATTTTTTGTTTTATTAATATTCTTTTTTGTTCTTAACAAACTTTTGATGATATAGTATTATTAGACAGCACAATACCTTTCAAAAAGGGAAAAAACTAAAGGAATGCTTTATTATATTAGGAGAAATAATGCTTGATAATTTTCAGAACTTGTATGAATTTTTCCTCAAAGCTTTAAAGCGCTAAATTGATACAATTTGTAGTTTTGAGTTAGTAATTTTAAACTACGCGTTTCTCAGTTTTTAGATTTTTTAAAAAAAAATCTAAATTCTTATAACAATTTAAGCTGATGAAAACTGATTTGGATGAAGCTAAAAAGTTCTTTTAACGTTAATTGCATGTAAACAGATATTTATCGAAACTCTAAGAGCAAGCAACTGTATACTATTTAACTGCCTATCAAAAACTGTTGATTGCACAATTGCATTAATGCATAATTTTGTCTAAAAATTTTTAATAGAGAATCTAAAATACCACACGCTTTTTATGTCAAATTCTGATTGGATAACGGTTTTGTATTTCACATGAATCGCAATATTTTACATGTATAGTAAAATATTGACAAATTAGTAATTATCCATCATCAATTTATTTGTGTTTCAAAGAGGTTAACTTTTCAATTTTTTTTTTAACTCGCTACTTAAGTATCTTTTTATACACGAGTCATTGAATTAAAATTGTTTATATTTATTTCAGCTGTATTGTTCTAAGTCTAGGTTACTATGACAACTATTACTCTGCATGATTCTCAATATAGCAGGTCAGTGGGATACCTGCTAGTGACGTAGAGCAGGTTGAAAAGCGGCATTTATTTACGTTAGCAACTGTTCTTTCCATTCTATTTCAAGTATCAATTCTCTTGAGTGACACATTCTATATTCTTTCGCAATGATTCTTTCAGAAATATTTCAATTCTTTCACTGTATATTTCTCATTTAACAGAAGGACAGGCGCGAAATCATGTAGAATATAAACAAACTAATTATGTATCAAAGTTGTCAGGTACACAAAACAAAAATCTATCACGTTTGCAATAAAATATATAAACAAATAATAAATATAAGTTAAGTAACAGACGTTGACGAAAAATAATTACATTTCAGCAATTTTGATGTTTCATACGGCGCTGTATTTAATTGACTTCACGTTAATTAACATTCTATCTTTTGTAATCTTATGTCATTTTACTAATAAACGATTCGCTGACGTCGTCACGTGTGTGGGTATCCGTGATCTTCTTCTGGACGTGCAAGTACCCAATTGGGTACTTGAAACTCGAGAAGAAAGGAAGAAATACATAAATATAAATTAAAGTGATTATTTGTTTTTCCCCGTCTCATCTGTAAAAAGAAAAGTGAACAGTAATATTATTTATTCATATTTAGTAGCAACTATCATTTAAAAAGGAAATCGGTACTTATATCTTACTAGAAAGATGCATGAAGCGCCACTCCTAAATCAAGCTGATTTTTTTTATAAATTTGTTTTTTGGTTTTGGTTTAGATGATGAATTAATGGAAATAAAACGTTTGTCCTATTTTGCATAGGAAGCAGGGATACAAACTATTAAAAAAAAATTTTGTTTGGGCAAAAACGTTCGAAAAGAATCGCAGAAGTTTCGCCAAATGCGCGATAAATAATAGAGATGGCAAAATCACGCCTAAGATATAGACAAAAAATATAACAGTTCAAACCATTTTTGAAATGAGTTCCAATTTAGCTATTAAATTGTTAGTATAGAAAATTCTTTCAACATGTGGCATTAAACTGTAATTTTTTATTTCATTAACAAAAACAGAGAATTTTATTCGAATTTTACAATTTAATCTTTTTAAACGCAAATATTAAAATTACTGATTACAAAGAATTTTTAATTTGAAGCAACCTTTTAAAGCCAACTATTATGTTCGTTTGCGAAGTGAGTTAAATTTGACGACGTATACGAGGTAAAAATATAAGTTTCCGATAATTTATAAGTCAATATTTACTTCGAAACAGCCAAAATAAATTTTATATATAATTTCAGAATCTAAAAAACTATCTTTTTTAAAAAATCAGCGTGATTGGCGAGTAAGCAATCTTCCTTCTTAGTTCATATCGTTAAATGTTACATGCTGCTTAGAATACTATAGATTTGGGATTAAAAAAAATTTGATTTCTATCAATTCACAACTGCATTCGTTCATTTGAATGAGATTTAAATTTTAATGATAAACATTATTATTTTTCAAAAAGGTTCGTAAAATCTACGTTACCTACTCTACACAAACCTACTGTGCCATTAAATTTAATTTTTTAAAAATAGAAATAAGAAATAGTAATATTCATTTAAGAGAAAACTGAGAAAGTATTAATAATATTTTGCAAAATGTATAACGGAGTTTAGTTGCAGTGAGGTCCGCAAGGTGAAATCCCACTTAAGAAGAAAACAAAATTTACTGAACCTTTGAAACTTAAACGATAAAGCAGACTTATTTTGCATCGACCGTGTCACATAAACACAATATTTGTCTCATATTTGCCGAGGGTTTAATCTAATCTGTTTTCTCACAAAAACTCGAGGAATGCCACAACCAAAAACTTCCCGAGTGGTCAAAGATGGAAGACCAGGTGTGCGATCTTGCATTCCATCAAACACTTCTAACATTTAGCCCAAGTGAAAACGGGGTAGCGCGTCTCATAAACTTGATAAAAAACGTCTCGTAAATGTTCGTAATCAATGTTTTATTAGACATCCGATGAACGACTTTATCTCGTCTTGTATGGTCACCATAATTCCATAGACAACAATCTCGCTGCTACTGCATGGGTGGCTGTGGCTGAAGACTTATTCGAAAAGAGCACATCACTTAATATCAACTGTCTCATTAGCTTAAAAGATAACCTTTCCCATAATGAATGTGATCATCCACCTCTGAAATATTATAGTGGGAACTTTCTTGGGAAAGTTCCTTTGATTTGATTCTAAAGAGCTACCGAATATAAAACAGTTACCGATTTCTTTAAAACCCGCCTGGTGATCAGATATTGTCGAGTGAATATAAAAAAAAAAACTAATTTATATGTTAGATGACTCAATTATTTAGTTTGAGTGATTGTAATACCTAAGAATTTTGAAATGATATTTGGTTGATAATTAATTAACACGCATGTGTAAAGCAAAAGAGGATTTATGTTCTAAAGCTAAAAAAATAAATTATCATAAATTAAATAGCCTTTCCAAGATTCATTTTTTTAAAAATAAAAATTGCGTTTTTGCTTTGTGTGATGAATTAATTCATCTGATTACATTTTTCATGATAATTTGAGTTTGAAATTGATAATTTTGTGACTGATTAGATAGTGTTTTTTTTTTAAAGTGTGTAATTTGATCACATTCCATGCACGAGTTTGATGATTCACTTGGACAAACGCTCATCTTATATAAATTTGATACAACTGTTTTTGTGAATATGTCACGGGATGAAATTGAGGCTAACTTATAGGCAGGTGATCAACTCAATTAGGTAGCAACTTAAGAGGTTCATTCTTTATAATTTAAAAAATATATATTAAAGTATGGAAGTACATAACGCTTCATATCAACTTTCTCATTAGCGTCCGAGATAACCTTTTCGTAATGAATGCGATGAAGTATCTTTGAAATACTAAAGCGGGAGCTTTCTTGGGAAAATCTTTTGATTTGGTTAAAAAGAAAGAAACAGAATATAAAACATAAAGAAAAAACAGAATGATACCGAATATAAAACAGTACAAGCAGCTACCGATTTCTGAAAAACCAGCTTAATTATCAGATATCTTCAAAGTGAATGAAAAAAAAGCTAATTTATATGTTGAATGACTCTATTATTTAGTTTGAGTAATTGCAATTCCTAAAAATGTTGAAATGATATTTGATAAATAATTAATTAACGCGCTTGTGCAAAACAAAAAAGGATTTATGTTTCATTGTTAAGGAATACATTATCAATTATCACATATTAAATAAATTTTTACCTCTTTCCCAGATTCATTTTTTTTAAATAGACTAACTGCGTTTTTGCGTTGATGCTTGACAAATTAATTCATCTCATTACATTTCTCATAATAATTTCTGCTTGAAACTCCTAATTTTGAGGCTGTTAGATACTGCTTTTTTAAGATTGTTTATATAGTTTAAAGTGTGTAATTTGATCACATTTCATGCTCGAGTTTGATGATTCACTTAGACGAGCAATCAACTTATAAAAATATGACGCAACTGTTTTTGTAAATATGGCACATAGTTAACTAAAGGTTAATTTTTGGGCAGGTGGTCAATTATTAAGGTAGCAATTAAAGACGTTAACTGTTTATACGTAAAAAAATATTAAAGTATAGTAAGTAAAATATTAAAGTACGCAACACTTAATGGCAACTGCCTCATTAGTTCTTAAGCTTATATCATGCAAAGATCAAGATGAGGTAGGACATGATAATGGTCTTTGAACGAGAGAACTTGTTGAGAGTTTTTTTTTTTTTAGTTCGATTGCCACACTATCTATAAAACAGTACAATTTTCTAACAGAATAATAAGGCTGCCAAGTAGTTATAGAGAATACAAAACATATTCATTTATATTTTGATTGAATTTGTGATTCTGTTATTATTCTACCTGAGAGATACTTCTATTTCGACAATGCGCTCAAAATATAATTTCTATGACATTGATAAACGGATAATTTCTAACAAGGAAGTTTCCCGATATGCCATTCGCAAAGCAAGCTGATTTTTCTGGCTCAGAGATTCTTCTATTCCGATAATTCACAAAATATAATTTTTATGAAATTAATAAATGGATTATTTTTTACAAGGAAGTTTTCCGAAATGCCATTCGCAAATCAAGCTGATTTTTCTGCCTCAGAGATTCGTCTATTCTGATAATTCACAAAATATAATTTTTATGAAATTAATAAACGGATTACTCTTAACAAATAAGTTTCCCGAAATGCCATTCGCAAATCAAGCTGATTTTTGTGCCTCAGAGATTCGTCTATTCCGATAATTCACAAAATATAATTTTTATGAAATTAATAAACTGCTTATTTTTTAACAAGGAAGTTTCCCGATATGCCATTCGGAAAGCAAGCTGATTTTTCTGCCTCAGATATTCTTCTATTCCGATAATTCACAAAATATAATTTTTCTGAAATTAATAAACGGATTATTTTTAACAAAGAAGTTTCCCGAAATGCCATTCGCAAATCAAGCTGATTTTTCTGCCTGAGAGATTCTTCCATTCCCGATAATTCACAAAATATAATTTTTATGAAATTAATAAACGGACTATTTTTAACAAGGAAGTTTCCCGAAATGCCATTCGCAAATCAAGCTGATTTTTTTTACATACTCAGTTTTTTAGATCGAATTATAATTATATACATAAATATTTGTCTATTTTGTTACGTTTGTGGATTTTAAATTTCTTTAAAATATAAATTTAGGGCTTAAAAATAAAATTCTTAAAAATATAAATTAAAAATATAAAAAAAGAAAGTAAGTAAATAAATAAATAAAAGAATCCCAGGAAAGTCGCCAAATGAGCGATAACGAAAAGCAGCTGGTAGAACCCCTTCTAAGAAACCTCTAGAGTCGCAAAAATAAAATTAATATTGAAACGATTTCTCGTAGCAGTTCCATTTCATTGAAGCAAATTACCCACGCAATGAAGAATTTTTATAGATATATATATTTTTATGTATTCTTACTTGACCAAAATGTTGCACTTTTCTAAATGTTGTTTGCTTTTTTAGTCTACAACTACAACTCCAGCTCCATTAAATCCCCCTGTAGGAATATTGAAAACAGATGCACCTCCAAGAGTGAGTTCAACATTTCTTCTAATATATATATTTGGTATAAAAATATAATTCTCTTTTCCGGTGTGGGATTGACCCTGAAAAACAATGTCAAAAATTATTAATTGAACCGTGATGTTAATTAAAGTTGCTTCATAGAATCCTGTTCTAAATGGCGAATGTTCATAAGACTTGGTACTCGGGCCATGGCGAAATGAAATCTGCAATCGAAATCTAGTTCAAATTTCGCTTAATAGGTGGCATCTCAGAAAGCATGTAACCTTACAGCGGAATTTTCTTTTTATTGTCACGAAACTGTTTGTACTAAAAACCTTTTTTCAATAAAGCAAAAATATTGCACTTTCAAACCTTTCATCATGTCCATCGTGACGTGTTAGCTGACGTCACACTAGCGATAGGATCAAATTGCATTGTCCATTAAAATTTCATGACAAGGTGGATTATAGCTGTGCTAGCAAGACTTTGCGACAGAGATGGGCATTTGTCATTCAGAATAATGAATAAAGAATGATGAATAATTATTCAAAATCTGAATAATGAATGATGAATAAAGATTTATTCATTAGTCAGAAATATTTTGAATAAAGAATAAATCATTCATTATTCCTTATTCAGTATCCTTTATTCATTAGTCAAGAATAACTGAATAATTTCACTGGTCAACAAAAATGGGCACGGAATACTCTAATTGACTACGATTATGACAACTACAAATAAAACGTTAATCCTTTTCAAGTATATTTATATAATGTTTGAGAAAATTTACTTTTGTCTAACATAATGCATACTTTTGAGAAATGGTTACATGGCAAAAAAGCGTTTAATTTTTTAAGTTAAAATTTTATTTAAAAATTTAAAATAATATTATCGTTTGCTTTCAAAAACTATAAAAAATTGCGTTTTATAGATTTTAGAACAAAATTTCAAAATGAACTTAAGTAACTAAACTGTTATAAACCTACTTTTTAGCACAACTAAGTATGTTACGCTGGAGTAAGTTAAAATAACATAAAAATAAATAGTCATACTTGTCTTAGTTTTATAGTTTAATTCCTAAAATAAGACGTTTAAGAGCAAACGATGTTTTGCATCTCGTTATAGACAAAGACATATCGATTGCATTTTTTGCTGGTTATTCAAATTTTATTCAGAAAAATTAGTCATGACTAATGAGTTTATTCATCAATCATTATTCAAAAATTTTTATACATTTGCATAATGAATGATGAATAATGACTAAATTTTCATATGAATAATCATTCAGAATAAATTTATTCTGAATAAATTTAGTCATGAATAAAATTTTCGTGAATGATGCCCATCACTGCTTTGCGAAAAGAAAACTTATAATTACTTGGATTTAAGATTATTTTCACCTTGTGACTAGCTTTATTAAAGGTTTTTTTCCCGCTTGAAAACTCGAAGTTAACCTCGATGGAAGGGTTTTATACAGACGGTTGTTTTCCAAGGTTTCGAATTAGGGTAATGCGCGTAGAACAGAGCAGATTGTTACAGATCTCGTTTTAAGATTAGAAGGTTTCCACGTAAACCGCATGACAAACCTTGTTAGGTTTACATTAAAAGGTTTTTGCTGAGTGAAAATAAACCTTTTTTTTTGCTGTCAGGGATATTTTTAAAAGAAAAAATGTTAATGCAATTTCATACAGTTCTTTAAAGTCAAAAATCACTGTCGTAGCGATCATTTTCTACCATGAAAGTGTAAAAGAAAGAATGAGTGTTTCTAGTAAAAGTATCAGAACCATGGTAATTTGCTAATTGTTCTAGAGAACAACAGCGTCATGTTGCTGCAATATATCGACTCTTTACGCTATAGTTGAACATGCTACAACTCATTTCGAATATGAGAATTAATAAAAATGGAATGCACATATTGAGGATATGCTATGATTCTAAACAGTTTCGCTTTTCGAAATTGTGTTTTGTTTCTTACTAGTGCCCTTTTTACACCTACTGGTTGACATTTGAATTAACTTTTCATTCAAATTTATTACAAATTTCTTTTTTCTGTGATCAATATAACTCGTGTATACCAAGTTTCATTAACATCCATCAAACAGAAAGGATATATGTATGTTTAAACTGTGGTAATTTAATCATAAGCAATTTTGCATGTGAAATCGATAGTTTTAATTTTATAAGTAAACACTCGGAGCGTAATTACATTTACTTGCAATTGCATTGCTCCAATAAAAAAAAAACTAGACGTTGCGAACCTGATTGCATCGAAACGGTTGTCTTCTCATAAAATCTTAAATCATTTTTTTTTTAAATTTCCCAAACGTAAATTCTTAAAAAGAAATCTATCTAAATATTTAAATGCAAATTAAAAGAGTCCCATTTTATGTACTCTGAAGGTATTTTTTTTTACTTAAACATATAGCTTTTTTTGCTACATTTCATATTGAAATTATTACCGCTAAATAAATAGATTAAAACCATAGGTATAAAAAGTCAAAAATTTCTAAGACTAGATTGAGAAGCCAACATCATCAAATCATCCTAGTTTTTAACTGCTGATGCATATAGAAAATAGATGAAATAATACTAAAACAAAGAGAGCCAACTACTATTTTTTTGGCGGCTTGGCATCTTAATCGGAGATTTGTAAGCATCCGATTGTACAGTAATAGTTTATTTCTACAATAATCTGAATCCGAAAATGCGCCCTTCAGAATAGTCTGTACGTACAAAAACGGTAATATGTAAATACACAATGAAATTATCTGTTTTTCAAATAATAATAATTCTAAAATATAATGTTTTAAAGAAAAGTAATAAATAAATTTTAACAATCAAAATTAATTTATAATATTTCTCCCTACTTTAAAAAAATAGTCACATTATTGTAGAGCAATGAATTTCCTTTTCGTATTAGCTTATGCAAGAAAATTTTTTTGTAAAAATACTGCAAATCTGTTACGTGGTACTAATAATCTGCAATTTGAATTTGAAAAAAAAATTGCATACGGTTTCGATTTATTTAATACTGAAAAGCAAAAAAGAAAAGTAAAAATTCTGATTGTCATAATCTGTATGCAAATTAAATAACCTTTAACGTTTTATCTTGAATTAAAATCGCTAATCTTAAATTAAAACAAATTTTAAAAAAATGAAGGAAAATAAATAAAGATTTTAGCGCCATAGTAACATTTAAGTTTTGGATATTCAATTACTACACTATTATGCACAGAAAAAAAATATATAACAGCTTTTGAATTTTGTATTTATCATTTTATTATCAGATTAAGTTAATTCAAATTTACTTTTGGAAAAAAAATTATTAAAAATGGAGTGTGAAAAATACTGTAAGGTATGAATCACTGAATATTAAATGCTTTTAGATGTCTAAATTTGTTTAATATTGTTGAATAAATGAAAGTATGTGTAGTGTTAAAAGTAACTTTGAAAATAAACCTTGATAATATCAACTCTTATTTCATCCTTATCCTAAGACATATATTTATAAAAGACAAGTGCAAAACGTAATCTAAAATTGTTTTATTTTTCACAATTCAAACCATATATTTAAGGCCACCTGCGTGGTTTTTAAATGCACTGATTTTTATGCTCTGATATCTAATCTTTTAAAAGCAGTATTTTTACCATGTAAAATAGTACTTTAAACGTACATGAAATGTTTTGAATACTAATTGCGTACCTAAGTGTTACTTTCACACATAATCTTTCTTTTAAATTTATTTTTAATACATAAAACCTAAGATGTATTTTTATAGTTTTTTTAGCACTACATGGAAAGATTAAACGTTTTTCTTCTTATATCTGCGATATGGATTTTAGTTTCAGCTTAAAATAATGTATTTTAAATGTTTCTTAAAAAGAATAAAACTGGTACAACGTTCGGAAAAGCATTAATTTTATTCGAATTAGCTTTTGTCTTATCTGATAGCCTTAACAACATCAGACGATTGTTGAAACATTTGCATTTCTACTTTCGAGTATTCTTAAGATAAAATGCAAACGTGCTTGCGAATCCAGATGACGCTCGTAAATTTGTTTAATCTTTTATAATTTGTGTGTGTTTTATTTCGCCTGTAATTTAATGATGTACTAATATGTGTTCATTTTTATGTTTTTCTTTTCATGCTCGCAGATAAGGAGAAAAGTAGGTTTGATGAAAATATGGCTTTGAATATTAGTTTATTAATTATCGTTTTCAAAAAATATTTTCATTGACTTGTCACGTTGTGTTATATTTTTTTCTTACTAATCTTGGGGCAAACGATTTCTTGCTTTCGGAAATCAAAAGTAAAATCACGATTTTAAGGTGCCAAAAGGGCTGATTTCAAAACAATTGAACGTAATTCGGAATTCTAAGACGTTTTTTATTTTATGACGCAGTAAGTTATTTACAGGTTCTTTAAATACGCGTTTCTTGAAGTTATTAAAGATTTTTACTTCAAGATTTTAAATTTTGTAATCATTTACATAGCTAAAAATGCATATTGAGTGCAACTTTTACCTAAACAATCTGGGGTAAATATTTAGGATAGTTTTCCGGCTTAGAGGTCCGATTTAAACCTCGTCTTTAGCATTTTCTTTTTTAGTGAAATGAAAGAATAAGTTATAAAATGACTTCCTGGCTTTATTTCATAAGCTTTCCCCAATTTGAATTTTTTTCTGGCCCGAAATAATTATAAATTAACATTTAACAATTATGGCGAAGATGACACTTTACTCCGAGCTCTGATGGACTAGCTCGATCTCCATAGTGTATATAGTCTGAAACAGTTCACAAATTTATTTTAGGTTTGAATGTGGCTATTGATTAAGCTAAAATAGTCTGAAATGAAATAAAGTTAACAAAAACCTTGCATAATCGCACTTAAAAATATGTAAAAAAATAGAAATTTTGGAAAATGCTCAATTTTTGCTGATTCAAACTATAGTTATATCAGCTCTCTACAAATTTCTAAAGTATCATCAAAATTGATTGTGTAGTTTTTCTGCAATCCAAAAAGCCCAACCAAAAGAACATTATTTTGGGGAAATCACGCTTAAGGTTTTTATAACGTTTTTCGGGTTTTACTGATGGGATCTACCATTAATAGGCAATGCTTGGGCCATATAGCGAGCCTTCCACGAACTCATGCATTTAGTTGGCGTGCACTGTTTCCACCCAAGCCACAGATCTGCCTTGTTTGAATGGATGCAGAAGTGAAGTGTTAGGCGATTTGCGTTGCGCCTTATACAAAATCCGAACGTTGTGTTTTAATGGGACGTCCGCAAGTGACGTAGTGTGGGTATCTTGATCCTGATTGGCTGTTGAAACGTGGCATTTGCTTACGTTAAAAACTGTTCTTTCTACTTTCCATTCCACTTAGAGTAAGCCAAGCCCGTCAGGTATCAGTTCGCTTAAGTGACACATTCTAAATCTTTCACAAAGATTCTTTCTGAAAGCTTTCAGTTCTTTCACTATATATTCAAACAGAGACTTAACACAAAGACAGGCACGAAGCCATGTGGAACATAAACAAATTAATAATGCATTGAAATTCCCAGGTGCACAAAGCAAAAATAAACCATGGTTACAATACAATACATAATCAAGTAATAAATCTATGCTAAGTAAAAGAAGTAGACGAGAAAGAATTATATTTCAACAAATTCGATGGGAGATACGGGGTTGTGTTTAACTAACTTACTAACTAACTTGAAGTTAGTTAACTTTCGAATTTATGTAGGGAAACTTTTCTCAACTTTAAAACGCCATTTTGCTGATAAAGGTTAGCTGGCGCTGACGGCATAGGTCTCATGTGTTGGTATGGGAGGCCCTCTTCTTGAAGTGCAAGAACCCAGTTCGAATTCTCTCGACAGCTATCATGCTGGCAATTATCATAAAATCGTCGTTGAAGATCACAGATCTAAATAATTGGCAATTCCGTCCACATCCTTACCAGAACAGATGCGCTTCCTAGAAAACGTCCAAATAAGCGAACTAAACGATTCGTTATTGATTTAGGGTTCGATTTGGCACATCTTTCCATTAAACTGTCATTTGACAGATCTTCGAATGTAGGTCTGATTGCCACTTGCGCTGTCCGTGAGCTCTCGATGGCGTGGAATAGCAGGTCCGATTATGGCATTTTTCAACTGCAGTTGAGTGCCCATTATCCACACCCGTCGAAACCAAATCCAATCTGGATAACGAGAACTGCGGATTCTTGGACAATTTTACAAAATGGCTAAGAGAATGTTTTTGAGTAACTTCCCTCCACATTTTTTCCAGGGTTGGGATTGGCAATTGTAGTAGTGCTTATTATAGAATATTACAAATGGCAAGTTTAAAAGTTCTAATTTTTAAAAAAAATTGTTAGAAACCTGTTTCCTTATTAAAAGCTATTTGCCACCCACCATTGAAATTGGGTGGATATCATAGTCACCGAAGAAGAAAAGAAGCCGTACTTCGAATCCTTTCAAATATCTTAAAAATAAAATAAAAAATTTAAGGTAGGAAAAACACATGTCCCATAAACGATCCGGATAATTGAACAATCCGGTACATTGACTTTTCGGGTAATCAGCGCTCTACTATATATCAAATAGTTTTCAGGCAAATAGGATTCAACCACATATACTCCATAGTGTACGATATCGAAATATGCAATGGAAAGAATAATCGATTTTTGAAATTTCTAAACCGGAATAATTATCATAAAAATTTTGAATAATTTGTTAAATATATAGTTAAAGAAATCTCATGGGGGAAATATCTAAGGCATTCCTTTGCTTAGGAACTGTATGAAAATCAATGTCTTATCAAAAAATTTTGCTGTGCAATAAACCGAAAAAAATGAGATTCTTACGCTGTATTGGTAGAGCAAAAAGTAAAAAAGATTAATAATCCTTGATAGATTTTGGTCTGATGATCGGCCTTCATCGGGCAATATTAATGAGTTAATTGGGACTTGCCATATCGCATCGAATTTCATTGGAGGTATGAAGTTATTTTCTGGAATAAATAATGTTCTGGCATAATTTATGTTCTGGTGTAAGTTATGTTCAGGTATAAATTCTGTTCTGGTATAAATTATGTTCTAGTATAAAGGAATTATTCATAATAATGCTCTGGTATGAAGAAAATCATAGAATTTTGAAAAAAGATTGAGATTATTAGACTGTATTGGTAGCGCAAAAAGTCAAAAAGATTAATTGCCCTTGATAGTTTTTGGTCAGATGATCAGTCTTTCATCGGAAAGATTAAAGAGTTAATTAAGACATGCCATATCGCATCCAATTTCATTGGAGGTATGAAGTTATGTTCTAGAATAGTTAATATTCTGGGTATAAATTATGTTCTGGTATAAATTATGTTTTGGTATAAATTATGTTGTGGTGTAAAGTATGTTCTAGTATAAGTTATGTTCTGGTATAAATTATGTTCTGGTATAAATTAAGTCTTGAATCAAAATATGAATGGTGATTGCATCAAGTCAATTAAGAATTACCAAAAATTTGACAGATTTTATTCTACATTCTTTCTTTCAGCTACGTATGGCGGCGCTTAATCAACCATATACTGGCGATATGCATGGAGTAAGAGGGGCTGATTACGAATGTTATCGCCAATCAAGAAGAGCTAATTTGAGAGGAACTTTCAGAGCATTCTTAGCTTCTAGGGTCCAAAATCTTGACAGCATAGTTCGTCATAAAGATTCAGATTTGCCTATCGTCAACATTAAGGTAAGAAATAACTCGATTGATTTTGAAAGTTAGATAGTGTTTCATAAAGTATAAGACTATATATACATTATATAAGTCATATAAAAGTAAATTTGTTAATGCACTACCGAAAAGAATTTCAAGAAATGACACAGTTTGATTAGAAACGCTTATGTTATGATCTACTATTTAAACATTTCTTTCACTTTATTATAAAGGTTTTTTTTTTCAATTCATAAAAACTACTAAAGTACTGTTCATAATGCATGTTTTGGGGAAATTTTAAACACAATAATTTTTTTTCTTTAAATTGATTGTTTGTGATCTTCGAATCCCATGTTGAGCAACCTAAAAATCAGCTTGAAGGAACACTTTTTTTTTCTTCCAGTTAACACCAAATTGAACCTTCAATACAATTTAAAGGGTGTATTTTAATCTAAAACTTTCATAATGGGAAAAGTTTTGAATCGTGGTGGCTCAAAGGATATAGCGTTCGACTTCTAATGCAGTGAGCCGGGTTCGAATCCCAGCTACGACTGGTAGATACGAATTCCGAACCCCGACTGGCACCGACCACAGTGCTTGATGTAAATTATCCCCAATGATAGACGGATGATGCGTTAGAGTCTCCTTACCGTCAGGCTAACCGTGGGAGGTTTTCCTCTCCACGTAACGCAAATGCGAGTTAGTTCCATCAAAAGGTCCTCCACGAAGGCAAATTTTTCCCAATACTAGATCCAGCCTGGTTTTAGGGCACTGGGCCCATGTCCAAGAGTTCGTGGGTTCGATCCCCGTCGGCGAATACTCCCCGTGTAGTAAATGGTGACTGATATATGTTAAATCTGTCGAGTCGTCCATGTTCCTATAACAAATTAATACCTCTGGGGGTACTGAGCTAGGAACTTCCTTGTTTCTGGATTGGGTTCAAAATTAAAGGGTACAGAGTTGAGCATTAGTAGTCGTAAAGCCAAAATTGGGTCGGCTGTTCAACGACGGTTATAAAATAAAAGAGAAAAGCTTGCATCAAGCTTTCGCGCTTTCACACCATACGTTAGATTCTTTTACGTTACGAGAATTAGTTGTTGTCTTCAATGATGCTACGCGTTTACTGAAACAAGCTCGCCGTTAAAATATGTATAGATGTATTTGTGTAATAAGGATATTTATTTTTTAGTTTTTAAGTCTCTGTAAACTGTATTGAATAATTTTATAATATCTATCCACTTCGGTTCTGTTACCATTAATTTGAGCTCGTCTTAATTTTCTCTCTGTACTATGCACAAATTTTATTAGCATACTGTATTTATTTTAAGAATTAATGCATCCTAAATTAATGATCTTTATTTTATATTATTGGCTGTATTTTATCTTAATGTAAATTACACCTTGGTGTTTCATTATCCTATTAACTATCTATGATTCTACACCACTTTGGTGTAAAATAATTGCCGCCATTTCTTAATCTCAAGGTACACTTAAAAAATTTTGAAGTGTAGTTAATTTATTATTTTTATTTTAAATTTAAGGGTGAAGTTTTATTCAATTCATGGAAAGACCTTTTTACTGGAACTGCAGCACCATTCTCTTATCCACCAAGAATCTACTCATTTGATGGTAGGAATGTTTTAACAGACAATACATGGTGAGTACAAAAAAAAATGTTTCTTCTTTTAAAAAAGTAACCCTAATTAGAAAAGCATTCCCCCTAAAAGACTTCAAAAGGGCAGTTCAGAGTCCCATTATGACTCATAAATATACTTACATGAATTATTAATAATATGTTTCTTGCACTAAGCAATGTTTTCTGTCTTTCATGTATAGCAGGGTGATTTNTAACTAAAAAACTAATCCAAATTTTTGAAAAAGAAAAAAAATACTTCTTCATTATGTCAAAACACAATTATGTGCCGAGTTTCGTGCCTGGGCGAGGCTTCTGGGGCGATATATTGTGATTACAGACACACACACACACAGCCGCGTTTATTATTATGTATAGATATATAACTAGTTGTTGTCTTCAATGAGGTTCATTTACTGAAACAAACTCGCCGTTAAAATATGTATATATGCATTTGTGTAATAAGGATATTTACTTTTTAGTTTTTAAGTCTCTGTAAACTGTATTAACAAATTTTATAATATCTATCCACTTCGGTTCTGTTGACACTAATTCAAACTGATAGTTTTTAAGTCTCTGTAAACTGCATTAAATTATTTTATAATATCTTTCTACTTCGGTTCTGTTGACACTAATTCAAACTCATAGTTTTTAAGTCTCTGTAAACTGTATTAAATAATTTTATAATGTCTATCCACTTCGGTTCTATTGACACTAATTCTAACTCCTCTTAATATTCTCTCTGTACTACGCATACATTTTATTAACATACTGTATTTATTTAAAGAATTAGTGTATGCATGCATCCTAAATTATTGATCTTTATTTTATATTATTGGGTGTATTTTATCTTAATGTAATTACACCTTGGTGTTTCATTATACTGGAAACTATCTATGATTCTACGCCCCTTTGGTGTAAAAAAAATAATTGCCACCATTTCTTAATCTTAAGGTACACTAAAAAATTTTTGAAGTTTAGTAAATTGATTTTTTATTTTAAATTTAAGGGTGAAGTTTTATTCAATTCATGGAAAGACCTTTTTGCTGGAACTGCAGCACCATTCTCTTATCCACCAAGAATCTACTCATTTGATGGTAGGAATGTTTTAACAGACAATACATGGTGAGTACAAAAAAAATGCTTCTTTTTTTTATGTAACTCATTTTAAGTAGAAAAGCATTCCCACTAAAACATGTTGTGGAACAGAGGGTTAATAGAGATTAAAGTTTCATAATTGTGTAATGAATGGCATGGTGATGCTATTGTTATAAACATACCCATCGATCTGAAGTTTTGTAGACTTGAAACCGCTACCAGCATCAGAACCCAATCCTTCAAAAGCACAGCTCAGCGTCCTAATCACTAGCCATTATGGCTCATAAATATACAACGACCGATCAAGACAAATTCAAGCCCAAGGCCCACAAAATTTTCCAAGCTTCTAAAGAAATATTTTGAAATTAAATTTCTGAATAGTAGTCCTAACAATAAAGAAAATCTATTATACTGCATGACTTAAGAGAAACATTCTAAAAAAATTTTAAAAGCAGACAATTGAAGATTATTTTTCTGAGATAAAGTTTATGCATCTAAATATTAATGCAAAATATAAAACAACAAAACAATGCTGTATGAGAATAAAAATAGTTTGGTGACCACAAACAATTGAAATCAGTGAAATCAGTGATTTTTGCTATAAGTCACTGATTAGCTGAATTATTTTAATGATTGTAGCCTTCCATCTATAGCTTTACATATTTGTTAAAATAAGCTTTTAGTTCTTGTTGACTATCTAATCATTTATAAGAGATTTTGCGAATATGCATTCTCGTTGCAAGCCGTTGGAGTAAAAATTACACCAATTAAAATTCAGCTGTACTTTCAAATTTGATTAGTGTAATGTTTTTACGAGTTTGGTTTATCACAATATAAAGAAAATGAAAAATGAAAAATGCTTTTTTCGAGATAAACTGTTTCCTTCAATATTTTTTTAAAAAAGTAATATTGTGGACTTTTTACCAATATTGAGACCCCCCAGAAAGTGTGGGCCCTAGGCCCGTGCCTATTGGGCCTAGACAGTAATCTTCTTCTTCTTCAGGAGCGCAACAGCCCTTTGCAGGCCTTGGCTGCCTCTAGACAGTAATCAGGCCCTGTAAATATACTTACTTGCATTATTAATAATATATTTGATTTTCTTGCACTTTTCTGCCTTTCGTGTATAGCAGGGTACTCCTTGACTCAAGGGACATATTGTTAGAAAAGATATTATAACCATCGTTGAATAGCCCACTTAATTTTGAGTTCACGACTACCAGTGTTCAACTTCGTAGCCTTGTAATTTTGAACTCAATTCGGGAGACAAGGGAACTCCTGGATCTAGTACTAGGGGAAATTCACTTTCGTGGAGAACTTTTTGATTAAACTAACTCTTATTTCCGTTATATGGTCAGTAAAACCACGAAAACACCCATGGTTAGCCTGACGGCTAGAGGACTCTAACCTATGATCCGTCTACCTCTGAGCATGGTATTTACGTCAGCACGTAGTCTGTGCTGGCCAGGTGCAGAATTTGCAACGACCAGCCATCGCTGGGATTCTAATCTGAGTCACATCATTAGAGAAGATGGGAGATAGTTGTATAAGATAGTATAAAGAAGATAGGACAATTGGACAATCCATGGTCGTATTCATTCAAGCACTTGAGGGCACGTATCAGCGAACTTGATATAACTCGCTTGTTAGCAATGGCATTCGTTCGCGGCTTTCGAACTGTGAATAAGCTGAAAGATTGTTGTATACATAAATCATGAGAAATCCAAAATGAACCCTCATACAACGCATAGTAGTGTTAGTAACTGCTGAAAGGTTTTTGAATTTTGAATGCAATTTGTTGAAAAATGGTATTAGTTTAAATTTAGAAAAAGCCGACCTGGTGGCTGAGCGGTCAGCGTGCCTGACTGTGGAGCCACTGGTTGCGGGTTCGAATCCTGCTCAGGGAATGGGTGTTTCTTTCTCTCTGTGTTCTATGTCCCTTCTCCTTTGTGTGTGAATGCGACCCGCCCTATAAACGGGTTTGTGGTTGTGTGACGTGGGCGGCGCTGCTCCACCGCCGTGGCATCGTCACTGGTGCCCACTGGGTAACGAGAAGAGAGTAGCAGTTCTGGCATTCCTGTGGCCAATGGGACAACCCTCAAGTGCCCGCCATTAAAAATAAATAAATAAATAAATTTAGAAAAATGTACTCCAAATTCTACCGCAGTCTCATTCATACCAAGTAACTCGGCTTATACAGATTCGTATCCATTCCAAACTTATCCACAGCGCCAATCATGAAAGAACTGCGTTTTTATTCCACAGGCTGTGAGACGCTTTGAAATCAGTTAGGACCAATAGTTATATAGTGTCTTATCCTTGTTCAGTTGCATAAACCTATTACATATTCACCTTAAGGTCATACACTCCGTATTTTTATTAATTGTTCAGCAGTTGGAAAATTAAAAACACTATGACTCCACGTTAGTTTTAACCATTCTACACTTTTATGTAGCACAGTTAATATTATATTGATTGTCACAATTAAAACTAAGCTTAGTAATAATCAGTAAATTGATTTGATTGTATGAGTATTTAATTGTATTACCTATTGATCAGGAAAAAAGAGAGAGAATTCATTGAATTTAAACGATACGTAATCCACCCATATAAATATTACCTATGTGAATGCAAGAATTCTCTAGATTTCATACTTTAACGAATCACCGTAGTTAATTTGTGGATTACCCAGATAATGTATACTTTAGCGGAAACAGATTCACTAATAAGCTTCGAAATTGCTCTAAATTTGATTAGTCTTTGGAGACTTCATAGTGTCTTATTGACGTGTGTCTGTGTAGCCGAATGGTTAAAGTCGTTGCCCTGGTGAGACAGAGATACCGAGTTCGATCCTCGACAGAGATAGCGACAGTCATCTAAGAAAATGTATAAGGGTAATGTAGGCTGTCATTTATTATTTCTGTACCTCATAGAAGGTTTCTAGAATGTTCTAATTCGTCATTTCCCGTTCCGTTATTTAGTTCTATAAACGATCTGGTGTTTTCAAGTCTAAACGCTAGATGCTTTGTCCTCTGTATGTTTTTTGAACGTTCTTAATGAATCTCTTTAACTTTCTGGTCTGCTTTTGATTCATTCTAAGGGACATTATTCCTTCTAACGCTCATTGCTTATTTTACAGGAAACACAAAATGGTATGGCACGGAGCAGACAGATTAGGTGTCAGGGAGATGGAAGCTTACTGTGACGCATGGCATTCGGAAGGAACAAATAAAGTAAGTAAGATGTTTATTTGCATCCGCTTAAGTCATATATATAT